TGCAGCGGAGAAGCCGCGCCACAGCCAAAGCAAACGACACACAAGCAGCTCTTAAAACACATGTGGTGGTGGTTTGGTCGCTAAGCTGTGTCCGACTCTTGGGACTTCACGGACTGTAGCCCATGTAGTCTCCTCTGTCCATGGGATTCTCCAGGCCAGAATACCGGAGCGGGTTGCCGTTCCCTTCTCCAGGGGATCTCCCCAACCCAGGATCAAACCCAGGTCCCCTGCATTGCAGGCAGATTCTTTACTGACTGAGCTATGAGGGAAGCCCCCTTAAAATATATATATATATATAATATATATTCAAGAAACAGGTCAACATTTGTTCAGAATCAACTTTAAATATTGCTGCCTTGATATGTAAAGCATGTTACATAGTTTGCTGTTCTGAGAATTTACGCACAAACACCCAGCCCCTCTGTCTGCCCCCGACAAGCCTCTGGGTAACTGAGACAGGGGAGATCTCCGCCTGGTCTTTAGTGTACGTGTCATCACTTCTGATCCAAGTTGCTGATTATGAGAGATGTTCTTACCGTGGAGGCATCCTAAGGAGGATTTTTGTGTTGTTGATACATTGAAACCATTTCATCTCTATTAAAAGTACTAAAGTCTGTCAGAGTCCTGACAGGTGAGCGCCCTCTGTGAGGAGTCCGGCTACTCACTGTGCTAACTTGCTGAATCTGAAGGAAGAGTTTACGGGGTTTAGGGGGACTAAGCTGCCATCGGGGTCCCCCACCGACAGGCTGGGAGAGTGATTTCCCTGCAATGTCCAGTTCCTCGTCTGTACACCCGGGTTAGATCAACCTCCCAGGGACGTGAGTAGGTTCCTTCATTGAGTCTCTGGGAGAGCGCGCCCCCTAAGGCAGCAGAGTCATCGGAAAGCGGGTGAGTGTGTGGCGGGGATGCGTACCGTGGACTCGTCATGTTCAAACACTTCTCTCGCCTCCTCATAGACGCAGATCTCTTCGAAGCACTCCTTCTCTAAATGCCCCTCAAAGAGCTCTTCTAAGAGGTAGGAGCCGGCTCGCCTCCACCTGGCCAGAAGTTGGTGCGCTTTCGATGCGGGAAGAAAAACTGCAGGGTGGGACGGGGGTGCAGGCGCCTCAGTGCGGCTGCGGCCGAGGCCTGAGGGCCCGGCTCTGGGCGACGGGCGGGCAGACCCACGCGTGGCCCTCAGACCCGGAAGACCAACGTTGTCCTCCTGCTCCTGACGACACCGGGTCTCAGCCCTTCACGTGCAGCCAGGTGAGCAGGACGGAGCTTAGCAGAGGAGGGCGGGCGCCCAGGAGGACGGGGCGGAGAGCAGGCTGTGTCCTCCGGGCAGTCCTCTGCCGGGACGAAAGCCCTCTATTTCCAGCTGAACCCAATTAGAGAAAGACTGCGGCTCTGCCATTGAGGCGGACGGGACACAAGATTACTGCTGTTTCCAGACCCCAGGCCGAGAGCAGTGACTGAATCTCAGGAAGAGGCTCTCCACCAGCGACCCTGTCCCCTCGGGGACTGTGTATCTTTCCTCTGAGCAGTGCCAAGGGCGGCCTAGGCTGGGCAGGGTTCTCCTCCTGGGTCCACTCGGGCCGTTAGGAGGTTGCAGTCATTTTAATAATATACTTATCTAACCAACAGATCCAGAATACTACTGTTTCAAGACACAACTGTTGAAAGAAACTAAATTTGCATTCTGATTTCTGTGTTAAAGCTGTGCAATCGGGTGTATTTTGAACTCCCGGCAACCTGACTTTGGCTGCCAGTTGGGGAGGAGGCACCGTGGCCAGATGGGTGGCAGGGGTCCAGGGTCCCCGGTCTGCAGTCGCTGGTTTGGGTTCAGAGGTATAGGAAGGTTGAAGAGGCGGGTGGGGCCCCGGGCAGGGGCTCTGGAGGGGCTGGGGTCCCCTCAGAGCTCCTCGGAAGCTGTGCCCCATCCTGTCCTGAGCCCCAGACCTGGCAGCTAGCTCTGTCTGGGCCCCTGGGGACCCCAAAGGACATTGTTACTTCCGACATACTCGACACGAATAGCAGAGACTGGGAGCTGGGCACAGGCCACCCTGGTCCTACTGGGGCTCCTCTGCTCCCAGAGAAAGCCCCCGAGCGCCCCCCGGCCCCCCGCCACAGTGCCCGAGTACACCTACCTGTGGGCCAGGCGGCGTGCGGGGCGAGAAGGGCTAGGACCCCAAGGATGGCGAGCGGTGGCGGGATGCAGCCGGCCATGGTCAGCCCGCAGCCAAAGTCCCCACCGGCTCCTTGTGCAGGGCAGCCGCGTGGGGGCAGAGAGCCAACCCCGCAGAGAGAGGCTGCCCTGAGAGGAACTGCGTCAGCACGGTCAGGGTTCCATGTGAAGGCTCCACTCCCGTGTTTCTCTGTTAAAGCAGAGAGGGAAAATGACGGAGAAATGGAAGCCCAAGGCAGAGGGACGTGGAGCTGGCTCGTGGGAGTGGAAGTGGGAGCCTGTCAGCGTTCCGGCGAGGATGGGGGGAGGTTTCACCTCTCCCTGGTGCGGGAATGAGAGCCAAGAGAGTGGAGCCCGGGCTGTTTAGGACAAGCTGGTCACCGGGGCCGCCTTTGGGAGGAACCTGAATACAGCAGTGAGCAGACCGCGCCCCCGGGGAGGAGGCTAAGGCAGGCCCTCGGGGGCAGGGCCAGGGGCCTCACGAGGTCCACAAGGCCGGCCGGGCCCGGGTGGGGAGGCCGGGCCTGTGGGGTTTTCTGTCAAGGGCAGGGGAGCCCACCACTGCCTCCCAGGGAGACCAGCTCCCTGGGGTGCCAAGTGCCACATGGGGACGCGCACTGAGAACCACGCTCAGCACGTGAGGGCAGCAGTACGCTGACTGTGCCGGGAACAGCAGACGCACAGGGTGGTCAGCCCGGAGTCCACCCGGGGACACTGCGTCCGTCCATCTCTGGGTCTCTGTCTCTCTGGGTGCCGGTCTCTCCTTCCATCCCTGCACAGCCCGGGTGTCGGGTTCCCGCCTGCTAAGGTCCCTGGCGAGAACTCCACGCGCCCCCGCCGCGCACCCTCTGTCTGAGTCTCCCTCAGACTGGTGCGGCGTGTTTCCCGGGCACCAGGCTGTCTCGGTCTTGGATGTGGGCACCGTGGAGGCCCCGCTGAGCCCTCTGGGCGTCGTCCTGGCGGGCACACCCCCATGTGGTCATGGCGTGCCCTGGCTCCTGTCCGGAGTTGCGCTGTCCTGCCTGCGGTTCAGGACGACCTTCCCCGGGGCTCTGGGCCCCCATCGGGGTGGCTCAGCGGCCGTCGTGAGAGCCCCACCCTGCAGCCCCGAGGGCTGGGGGCTGCACCCGCTGCAGGCCGGCCCCTGGGGGCCTCAGGGACCCTGCGTGTGCCGGCCCCCGGCGCTGGGCCTCTGCACCCCCTGCGCTCCTGTGTCCCCCGCAGAGGGACTGCAGGTGCTGGCGAGGGGGCCACCACTCCTGGGAGGGTGGTGAGACCCTGTCCCCCAGGTTTCCTCTCTGTCAGCTTCCTGCTCCTCTCTGTTCCCAGAGGAGACTTCCTCGGAGACGCCCGGCGGACTGGCTATCCTGGGGCGCAGGCCTGGCCACAGGTCCACCTCGAGACCAGCTCTGTCTCCCTCCAGAGGGAGATGCTCAGACCATGAGGCACGTCCTCCCAGGCCCAGAGTCAGCCCCGTGAGGCCCAGGACATGCTCCCCACGATGTGGCCGGAGCCCCCGCTGACGCTCCGAGTCCAGCTCCAGTTTCTGCGGGGACGGCTCAGCCCGCGGGTGGTGGGGGCCCTCCCTTCCCAGGGCCCAGCCCCCTGCCCACTAATCCGCAGGCTCGGCCCCAGCAGGGGGACACATGAGCGTGATGGGAGCCAGGTTCCCCAGAGCCATCTCAGGACTCTGAACAGCTGCTGTCCGAGAGCCCACCCAAGTCACTCTGCCCAGAGAACAGGGTTCACTTTGCCCAGAGTCCCCAGGGTGACTCTGCCCAGAGAACCGGGTTCACTCTGCCCAGAGTCCCCGGGGTGACTCTGCCCAGAGAACCGGGTTCACTCTGCCCAGAGGCCCCGGGGTGACTCTGCCCAGAGAACCGGGTTCACTCTGCCCAGAGGCCCCGGCCCCACCACGCCAGCCTGGCCTCCACCACCTTCTCTGTGGGGCTTCCCTTTGCAGAGGTCAAGGTGGGATGCTCGGGAACAAACCCTCTGGTTTGACCATTTCTGGGAAGCCTGTTTCCACTGATTTTTCCAAACTTGCAATATCTCCTGTTTACAAAACTGTCCGGTGACCCCTGGGGACTCTTGGGATGGAACTTTGAAACTTTGCTTTGTTGGGTTATGCAAAAAGCAGCTGGCATGGTAAACAGCAGGGCCCGCTGACATGACTGTGTCTTTGAGAAGCATGTCTGATTTTTCTGACTGAGTTGAGGGCCTGGAGCTGGTGCAGGTGGGCGGGCTTGGCCTGGGATGTGACCATTCGAGGAGGGGGCCCCTCCCACAGCCCCCCAGCATACGCCCAGCGTGAAGGGGCCCTGGGGGGCAGTGGGGACTCGTCAGAGCTGGGTTAGTGCTCTGGACTCTGCCTGGACCTGGGACTTCAGAGCCCCAGCTGGAGACAGTCACCCTGGGGGTGTGTGGGGGACTCCAGAGTCTGTGAGGCTGGGCCTGGGGGACTCATCAGTGAAGCCGGTAGAGAACTGGCTGATAGGTCAACATCAAAACACCCTTGCAACAGGAAGCCCTCTGGGTCCCTCTTCCCAGGGAGCCTGCCTTTCCTGGGAAGGCCCGTGAGGGGAGACCCCGCCCAACCCAGCCCGCAGCCCAGCTCCCAGATCCTCTGCAGAGTCCAGAGCGGCCTGGACAGCAGCCTGGGGCCTCTGAGGACAGTGAGATGCACTGAGGACAGGACAGGCTCTGAGGCTTCTTCCCGGAGCCGGGCCGTCTTTCCCACATCCCAGGGACACTCCCAGCGGGATGGGAGGCAGCCCTGGGCCTGGTCCCTGGAGTTCATTTCCGTTTCCGGGGGGCAAGAACAGACCCAGGCTAAGGAGAGGTCATGGTTCTAATCAGGCAGGGAGGGAGCCCGCTCAGAGCCCAGCATGGGGCGGAAGGGGAATCGGGACCGTCTGGGTGGCGGGGGCTTCACTGGGGCTGCGGCTGCCCACGGCTCCCGCCCTGGCCTTCATGATCTTGTCAATCCACTTGAGGAAGTTGGAGACCTTGGTGTAGACGCCGAACTTCCCCTTGCGCGCGCACCCTTCGCCCCAGCTGACGATGCCGGTCACGTAGTAGGTGTCCCTGAAGCGGGTGACGTGGGGGCCGCCACTGTCGCCCTGGCAGGCGTCCTCGGGCTGGGCGTCGTAGCCGGCGCAGAACATGTTGGGCGTGATGCTGAAGCTGCTGGACAGCTTGCAGGTGTTCCGGTCCACGTAGGGCACCTCCAGCATCTTGAGCGTGGACGACAGGCGGCCCTTCTCGTGCGTGCGCCCGAAGCCGCTGACGACGCCCGTCTTCTGGGTCAGCAGCGTGGCCTCCGCCCAGTCCTTCTCGGGCAGGCAGGCGGGCGCCACGTTCCGGCGGAACTGGATGGGCGTCTTGAGCCTCAGCACCGCGATGTCGAAGTCGTAGGTCTCCTTGACGAAGCGGCTGTGCTTCACGGTCATCTCCACCTCATGCGCCATCTCGTTGCCTTCCTCCTGCTCCGTGTTCCGGTCGCCTGAGGATGGGACATGGCCATCAGCTCAGGGCCAGCACGCTGCTGACACCTTCAAGTAGTTGTGATAGTTTCTGTAAAGACTGGCACGTGGGCGCTAGACAATGTGAAATACAGGCGAGCAGTGCGAGGCGGGGACACAGCCTTCTGCTTCCTGGCCAGTGTCAGTGCTCACTGACCCCTTGTTTGCCCGTGCATGGTCCGGCCCCCAGGTCTGACCTTCCAGACCCCCCAGGCCACAGGGCCAGGTGGGCACAGGTCAGAACCCATGTGTGCCACGAGTGCCAATTCTCAGACTCAGAATGAAGAAAATGACTGAAAATCTCCCCCAAGTACTGCAAAAACTCGTTACATGTGGAGCTGACAGTATCTAAATTTGCTGAAATGAGAATCACCTGTAAACTTGTAAAATAGGTAATGAAAAGGCAATGTAACTATAAAGTTAAAAATTGCAGATGTGGCTTGCGTCTGTGGCTTGCACTGGGTGTTCACGGAGCAGCTCTAAGACCTCCAGAGAAGGGGGGCGATTGGAATCAACTCCCAGACAGAATTTCCTGGCTGCTCAGACCACTGGGGGTGCTGGCGGGCTTCCGGGAGGAGGGGGCCCCTCTTCCCCTTCCTCCCCCGGCCCAGGGTTTCAGGGCTGTAACTCCTTGTGTTTCCAGCATCTGTCGGTCCCCGTGTCTGACACAGGAGGAGGGCGCTGTGGGCGTGGCTGGCACTCACCGACCCTCACTGTGAACCTCTTGGCCTGGTGCAGGCAGTGGGCGGCCGTGAGGATGTAGAACTCGCTCAGGATGGTGCCCCCGCAGAATCCCTCGTTCTCCTCATTGACCAGCAGAGCCTGGGGAGGGGCGGGCGCTGGGGAGTGTTACCCTTAACATGCCTCCTCCCCGACCCTGCCTGTGTGGGCCTTCCTGCCCCTGCCTGCAGTGGGCCTCTCCACGGACGGGCTCGTGGAGTCTTCAGGCTGGGACGAGGCCCTGGGCAGCGTGCCCCAGCGCCCACGCCCGTGCCCACCCCCACGGGCCGTCCTGCCCAGCGCTGCTGGTTCTCAGGGCAGACCCGCCATGGACCCCACAGTCCCACCAAGTGCCCAGCCCTCTGGTTCTTGGAGCGGGCCCACCATGGACCCTGGTCCTGCCCAGCGCTGCTGGTTCTCAGGGCAGGCCCGCCATGGACCCCACGGTCCCACCAAGTGTCCAGTGCTGTGGGCTCCAGACTTGCCTGTGAGGCCCTCCTGGTCTTTATTCTCCCTGCCCTTCCTGGGTCACAACATTACACATCAGAGAAGAGGCCCTGGTGCCTTCAGATAGACACGCAAAACACCCAGAGCCACTGTGACCTGCATCGTGCTCTCTGGGGATGGTGGCTGCTGTGGCGTGTGCTTCCACGGGCTCGTGACACATCAGACAGATGCAGGCCCAGCGTGCAGCCGTGGGCCAGCGGACGTCATCACCGAGGACTGTCGCAGCTCTGGGAACGTCACTTGTAGCAGAAGCCATCTTGGCTTTGGACACTAAAACCCTGAGGTCCAAGCGAGGGATCCGGGTAGAATCAAGGCCCCAGTGAAACCCACCCAAGTGAATGGAAAGTCGTCTTCAGGGTGTGTCCGGTGTGGCATTCAGGACACGTGCTGCTAAAAGCTGCTCACTGTTTACCTGAAATTCATACCTAAGGGGAAGCCTGTGCTTTCACTTGCTAAGTCTGGCAACTTTAGTTCAAATCGACAACCAAAGAGTGATTTTTTTTTTACCTTTGGAAACAAATGGATATACTTTTCTCTAAGGCACTGTCTGCCTCATTAGGACTTAGGTGTTTGGGTAAAAGAATCTTTCAAATTACAAGTGAAACAAGAAGAGCGACTCTTTTCACCTCCTCTTAAACCCAAGAGCACGCACCGGCCTCGGGGGGCCGCCCTGTGCCCACAGACCCCACCCTACGGCCCAGACTGGAGCCCCTCCTCTGCCTGGGGGGGCGTGGCGACTGAGAGGCTGAGGCCCAGCGTTTGCGGCCCCAGCTCCTCCGCAGGGGCCCGAGCGCCTGCCGCAGGCCGCAGCCGCCTGCAGTGCCCAGCAGACGCCTCTCCAGCCCCGCCACCCGGCAGCCGAGCCCCCCCCCCCCCACCGTTACCTGCCAAGGGCACTCGCCCTCCGCGCAGTCCCGGCCGCCCACTATCCGGACCAACTGGCTGCCGTCCTCCCCAGGGCTGGGCTCGGTCCTGTTGAGGCCCAGCAGGTGCAAGGAGCTCTCGGTGGGGCCCAGGTCTCCAGGGCCGTACTGCTCCAGCTTGCCGGCGTCCTCGCCAGTGTGGATGATATCCCGCCGGCTGCGTCCCTGCGTGAACTTCCCGCAGGGGAAGGGCTCTGGAAGAAGCACACAGGCTCAGCCAGGCAAGGAGGACACAGTCTACTCCGTGGGAGGAGCAGGCGCAGAATCGTGCCCGGGGACACGGCGGGGGCCACAGGAGCCCTTGGGGAGAGGGAGGCCCGTGTCCTGCTGGGTGGGGTGGGCCACGGGTGGGAGCCCTGACCCCTGGCTGGTCAGTGCTGAAGGGTCTCAGGGCCTCTGCAACCTGCTGCGATGCCTGCAGGAGTCGGGGGGCTGTGGATGAACAGAGGACCGTGGGCAGCAGGTGACATGGCTGGTGGAAATACATCGAGACCATGGTGGCAGAACAGAGCGGCTCGGGGGCACAGTGCTCCAAACCCTGTCAACCCTGCCGTGCGTGTTAAACGTAAGGAGATCCAACCGGCCCACCCTAAAGGAGACCAGTCCTGAATATTCATTGAGAGGATTGATGTTGAAGCTGAAACTCCAGCACTGTGGCCACCTGATGTGAAGAACCGACTCACTGGAAAAGCCCCTGATGCTGGGAAAGATTGAAGGAGGGAGGAGAAGGGGACGACAGAGGATGAGATGGTTGGATGGCACCACTGCCTCAATGGGCATGAGTTTGAGCAAGCTCCAGGAGTTGGTGATGGACAGGGAGGCTTGGCGTGCTGCAGTCCACGGGGTTGCAAAGAGTCGGACACAGTGGAGTGACTGAACTGAACTGAACTGAACCGAATGCCACACCAGAGAAAAAGAAGTGTTCTGGGCAGAAGGAACACCGCGCTGAGCTTCACAATGCCACGTCTGATGATGGCGGACAATTGCTAACCTGAGAAGTACCCAGCACAGGAAAGGTGTCAGTGCCCACGAAAAGCCTCCTTTTGTAGTATGACTGCCAGCTGGGGACCTGAGGCAGAGCGGGAGAGAGGCAGGACGGGGGGGAGAGCCGAGGACCTGCAGGGCCCCAAGGGCTTCCCTCTGTCTCGGGTGTCTAAGCTCAGACGAGCAGCTCCTGCCGCCTGGGGGCCCCGGCCCTGCAGGCCCGCCGAGGCCACAGGAGTGCTCACGGGGGGACACTCGTCACTCGACTCGGGCTGCTGCTGCGTTAGTGTCTGGAGTCTCTGCCCCTGGGAATTCTGCACCAGCTTGTCCATGGCTTAGAACAGATCTTTTTGCAGCAGGAAGTAGTTTACCTAATTTTATTTTCAAACATCAAAATTTATTTTAAATTGATCTGTGATTACTCCTGGAATTAAAAAAAAAATTGCAAGCATGTCAAAAAATGTCTTCAATTAAGATAATTTTGGACCAGCTTAAGTTTAAAATGTCATTACCAACAGAAACATAGTCTCACTGTCCTCCACCTGCTGAGAGGCTCAATTTGCACAGTTGCCACTGCCCTGAAATTGCCCACCGCCCCAGCCAGCGGCTGGACTCTGCATTCCTAACCACCCCTGGTGATCGGGGCTGCAGGGCCAGTGGGAAGCATGCTGCAGGCCGGGCTGACCGGGGCCGTGGTCTCTCAGGTCCTCTGACCCAACCCCGCCCGACACGGGGGGAGTCCTGGTCAGACAGGACCTCCCCTGGGGTGTGAGATGGTGGGGAGCGGCTTGCCCACCCCCAGGACCCCCAGGACCCAGGCCCTCACTCAGCCCTGCCTGAGCTTCTGGGCCAATGCGTGGAGTCTGGCCTTATCAAGGGAAAAGCCATTTCCATCTGACCCGCTGCAGCCAGATCAGTTCTGGAGGGCCCCGGGCTCCCTCCTGGTCCCCGCACCCCGGCCAAGGCTCCTTGGCCGGCCCGCAGCTCCGGTCCTGGTGACTCTAGCCTCCCAAGCACGCTCCCTCCCCAGGGCGCGGGCGCCATGGCAGCAGCTCCGCGGTCTGCTGGGGGCCGGGCTCCGTGCACCCTCACGCACCACATGCCCCCAGGAGCGGGCGTCACAGTCCGTCCCCCAGACAGCTCACGGAAACAGCGGATCTGCCTCCAGACTGCTCCCCACCCAGAGGCTTGGCCCTCACCAACCCCCAACCAACTGTGTGCCCCCCTCCCCGCACCCCCTAGTCCACACCTGTGAACCCCNCGCGCCCCCCAGTCCACACCCGTGACCCCCTCCCCGCGCCCTGCCCCCCACCTGTGGGCACGCAGGACTTGCGGTCGTCGCCCAGCACGTAGCCGCGGGCGCAGGAGCACCGCACCTCGCCGCGCTCCTCCCTGCAGAACTGGTCGCAGCCCCCGTTGTCCAGGCTACAGAGCTCGCGCGTGGCTGCGGGGAGGCGCGCAGCTGAGGGTGCTGCCTGACCGAAGGGCTGGGGTCCCTGAGGCCAGGCCAGCGCCCTGGGCAGGCCCTGTCCCTCCCACCACCTCCCGTGGGGTGGGAGCCGAGCTTCCTGAGGTCCCGGGAAGCTGCCCAGGCCGGGGAAGGCCTGGGGGCAGAGGGTCTCAGGTTCAGCCCTCAGAGTGGCAGGGGGTTCTGGTCAGGGAGGTGGGCCTCGTGCTGAGCTGGTGGGGTCCCCTCTGAGGCCTCCATCCCCCACGGCATAAATGCCCTGGGGTCCGGCCTCCGTGTGATGGGGAGTAGGCACGGCAGCCTGCTCCTGGACTCAGGCCAGCTCCTGGCAGGCCGTCCATCGTGACTGAGTGACCCGGGTGGGTTACCTAGACCCGCAGCCTGTTTCCTTGCTGGTGAAGGGGTGGAGGCCACACGCCTCCCAGGAGAGCGCCCAGGTCTTGAGAGGCGCTGGGCACAGGGGACCTTGCAGCTGGGCGGAGGGGCATCACCCCACCTCCAGTGACTCTGGGCATCAGACTCCTGACACCCATCAGCCCCGCCACCCTAAACCTGGCTTTACACTTCACCGCTGGGCTTTGATGAGAAGATGCTCACAGGGCAAATGTTCAAGAAACTTCAGAAAACATGCCCGCCAGCCCCTGGGTCAGCCAAACAGTTTGGGGCGCGGGGCACGGGCCCTCTGAACGGCAGAGGGGTAGAGGCATGACTGATATTCCCGCCGGGGAAGTTCTGAAGTGTCTAGTCTCAGAGCGTGCTCTCAGGATTATATGTTCAGAAACGAAAAGCAGACATGCAAAGCTTTCTGCTTCGGGAAAACTGGCCTAATACTAACCCAAGTTTTGTTAAAAAGTAATCCCTGTATTAGGAAAACTCAGCGATTTTTCCATGTAGTGTTACTTGTGTCAGATTTGGACAATCCCGGGCACTCAGCACTGACACTGCATGAATTTCCAGAATCACACGAAGCAGGAAAGACATCAGTTCCCACGTGAAGGGGCCCGCCCTGTACACACGTTCACTCTGCAGCCGCTCAGAGGAGCAGGGACCTGCCTGGGGTCCCCTGTCCCGCACACCGGGGCCGTGACGCGCTTTCCGCTGCTGCAGTGGCGGAAGCTGCACAGTCCAGGCTGCGGCGTGGTGGCCACCGGCGGCCTCCTGGGGCCTCCTGGGGCCTCTGGCTCCCACCCTCCACCCCACCAGGCGGCTCTGACCAGAAGGCACGGTGAGAAGAGGGACTCACAGAATTCGCAGTTTTTGCCTTCAAACCCTTCCGCACAGGTGCACGTGTAGTCCCCGAGGCCGTCTTTACAGCGGCCCTGATTCAGGCAAGGGTGGCCTTCACACTGGTCTCCATCTGCAAAGGAAGCACTTGGAAACCGGTGCTCGCAGCCAACTCCCCGCGTCAGGGGAGCGAGCGCGCTGTGTTGGTCTTGGCACGCGTTTTCAGGCGACTTGAACGAACCTGGGGATCTTCCTGTTTTCCTGCAAACAAGTTGTCCTGTCTGGACTTTGTTACCCACCCCCTCTTTGCGGCCACATGTACGTGAGGCATTTATCTAGCTAGATTATTGACTGAGCATTCCAATTCCTGCTGGGACACATGACAGTGCTTTTCCGAGCACTGACAATGTTTTCATATCAGGCGGAGGAGCCCTGGGCTGCGGAGTGAGTGCAGCAAGCAGGAGGCTGGAGGCTAGGTGACCGCCAGACACTCATTCTGGGCTGAGCACCGAGAGGCAGTGTGTCAGGCCGCCCGGGTGTGAGAGGAGAAGGGAGGGCCGAGGGCCCCGCCCAGCACTAAGGCGGCTCTGCATTTCTTGGTGCATGAGTGCAGTCTCATTCAGGGATAGGTCCAGTTGTCACTGTGAGAAATCTGCACACCGTTACCAGGATGAAAACATTATTATAACTCATACCATCTCAGACGCTATAAGCATTAGCTCAAGATGGTTACCTTATGAGAGGACCCAATGGTTCAGATTCTATTTTTTGTTTCTATCTAATATACTTGGGTTTTAAAAAGTTACCATGGAATTTGGTATCCTCAGATGAGGATGAACTGATTTAAATGTATATAATTAACAAAACTAGAATTAAATAAAGTTACCATAAAAAACTATTTGACAATAACTATTCAGGAAACACTCAGAAGGGGAAAGTCTTAGATGAGTAAAATTTACACCGGAAAGAAGGAAAGGAAACTCAGGAAACATCTTCAAAATTTGAATACAGCCTCTCCTGGTCTAAATACCCTGATGAGTCCTTCTTACTTAGGATTAAAATAGAAAAGTTCTCACCTTTGTATATACTCCAGAATTCATCCTAAAAGGAAAAAAAGATTTTAAAGTGCATTAGGGAAAACAGGCATTTCATACCAATAACAGCCATAATCTGATAACTCAAGTGAATAGCCTATTTCCCAAACGGAGACCATTTTGTGGGACAAATTGCTCTAGAACTATTCAATCTAAAAGGGATTTTTTTTTTTCCCAGATCTCCTGTATTTGTAAAGCTGTGGCTTCAAGCATCTTTTAAAAAAAAAAAAATACATGTTGGTATAATAAATTATGATATGCTAGCATCTATTTTCTTGCTTGCAAACAATTGAACACGGCATCTGGAAAACACTTTGTAATACTAACTTTACTTTTCTAGCTTTCATTCTTGCAAAATCTCTAATTATGTGATCACAATCAAGGTTTTCACATTATTTGTCTCAATTGTAATTCTAAATTACTTTTCTTGAACTGTAGAAGTTTCTATATGCTTTTCTTGTTTCTTTTTCACTAATTTCAGTTTGGAGAAACTGCTGAAACAAGAGCAACTGAAGTAAAATCTCTAAAGCGAGTGCTTAGATTCAGAAGCAAGTCAGAAATTTTATGCGTCACAGTCAAACCCTGTAACACAGTCGCAAGGACAAGTGACTGTAATGCTAAGGGTTCGTTCGAGCCGCAGTGTGTATCGATAGTTCGTTCTCGGGCGTGCTGCAGTCAGTGGGGTCGCAGAGTCGGACACGACTGGGCAACCGGACTGAGCTGAGTGTGGCGTCGTGTGGCATACCACAGTTTGTTTACCCATTCAACCAGCAAAGGACTTTTGCTCTATTTCTAGTTTTGGGCAATTATGAATAGAGATGCTATAAGTGTTTCTGTACAGGTTTTGTGTGAAAAAAAGTTTTTAGCTCTCTACAGTAAATGTCCGGGAACGAGTCGGCGGAGCCACGTGGCGACGGTCAGAACCTGACTTTGTCGAGCTGGCGGTAGCATCTGCGTCCCCACGGGCGGCGTGTGAGCTGAGCTTGCTGCACAGCCTCCCCAGACTTGCTTCTGCTCAGGGTTCCCACTTCCCGGCGTGTCGTGCTCGTGGCGTCTCACTGTGGGTTTACTTGCATTTCTGTAGTGCCTAATCTCACCAAGTATCTTCTCATATGCTTATTTGCCATCCACATATCCTCTTCAGTGAAGTGTCTGTTCAGATCTTTTGCTCACTGTATTTAATTGGATTGTTTATTTTCTCCTCTTGAGTTGTGGGAGTTCTTTATAAAGTCTGAGTGCAATCTTATGGCAGATATGAGATTTGGTTTTAGTCAGCAGCCTGTATCTTCATTCTCTTAACAATGTTTTTCACAGAGCGAGAGTTTTAAATTTAGGGTAAGTCCAATTTATCTGTATTTTCTTTCATGGATTATACTTTTGGTGTCATGTCTAATAATTTTTGTCTAACTTTGTGTCATGAAAATTTTCTCCTAAAAGTTTCCTGTTTTATCTTTAGAGCTATGTGATCCATTTTGAGTTAACTTTGTGTAGTTGCAGAGATTTAAGTTAAAGCTGACCTTTTAATGCATAGAGATGTACAATTACTTCAAAGCATTTTTGAAAAAGAGAATTCTTTTTCCACTGAAATGCTTATGCATCTTTGTCAAAGATCAATTGGCCGTATTTGTGTGGGTCTATTTATGGGCTTTCTATTCTGTTCTATTGATCTGTGTTTACCAGTGCTTTACCAGTACCATACATCAATATCTCTTAGAGTAACATAACTTTATAATAAATCTTTATGTCAGGTAGTGTGATTCCTCCAACTTTATCTTCCTTCTCAAGACTGTTAGTCTAACTTCCTTGCTTTCCCATTTTTCGAATTTTAGAATCAACTCGTCTATATCTGATGGAAGTTTGGTTTGCATTCCATTAAATTTATATATCAAATTGGGAGGAATCAATGTCTTAATATGTTGTCTTGCAAACCATGAGCAGTCTCTGTCTACTTATTTAGGTTCTCTTTCTTTCAACAGCATTTTGCCGATTTTAGCATACAGATCGTGTACAAGTTTTATTAGATTTACACATAGATATTTTTCTTTGGACCAAGAGTAAGTAGCAGTAATTTTTATAAATGTTTAGCTTCTAACTGTACATTACTTGGAGAAGGAAATAGAAACCCACTCCAGTAATCTTGCCTGGAAAATTCCATGGACAGAGGAGCCTGGCAGGTCCAAGAGGTCGCGAACAATCAGACATGACTGAGCACTCATACATGTACATTACTACTACATAGAGATATGATTAATATTTGCGTGCTGACCTTCTATTCTGTGACCTTGCTAGACACATACACTTTACGAGTTTTTTTTTAGATTCCATGGGATTTTCTATGTAGATTATCATGTCACTCACCAACAGGGATAGTTTTATTTCTTCTTCTTAACTTGTTGAACCTTCCTCCTGGTGAGGGCTTCCGGTACAGTGACGGATTAGGAGCGTTAGAAACGGACATCCTTGCCTTCTTCCAGCTTTCACTGTGGTTGCTTGTTAATCGTCTTTGTCTTGTTGAAAAAGCTCCGTTTTAGTTGTAGTTTGCGGAACGACTTTGAAACTGTGGATGGCTGCTGCATCCTGTCTGGGGCTTCTCTGTATCAACTGACGTGACGACGTGGGTTCTTCTTCTTCAGGTGGGTTACACCGAGCGAGTGAGGGAGAGCCGCTCAGCCGTGTCCCCCTCTTTGCGACCCCGTGGACTACACAGTCCATGGGATTCTCCAGGCCAGAACACTGGAGTGGGCAGCCTTTCCCTTCTCCAGGAGACCTTCCCAACCCAGGAATCGAACTGGGGTCTCCTGCATTGCAGGCGGATTCTTTACCATCTGAGCCCCCAGGGGAGCCCACACGACTGATTTTTAAATATTGAGCCAGACTTGCGTGCTCCGGATAATCCTGCTTGGTCATGGTGTATTCTTATAAATCTGTATATGTATTTATTCTGTACACGTATCTGTATCTGCTTTACTCAATTTGCTAATAATTTGTTGAGAATTCTTATGAGAGGTTCATGTGAAGTATTGTGGTATAGTTTTCCTTTCTTTCTCCCTCCCTCTCTCCCTCCCTCTTTCTTCTGTTTTTGTGGGGTTTGGCATCAGAGTAATGCTGATTGAAAACAAACTTAGAAGTGTTTCCCTTTCTCTTCTAGAAGAGATGACACAGAATTGGTGTTCTTTCTTCTTTAAATGTTTGGTGAAACACCAGTGACACCATCTGGGCCTCGATGTTTCCTTTTCAAAAGTGTTTAACTAAGAAGTTGAATCTGCAGATACCTCTGTCATATTATGTGAGGTGGTAATTCAAGGTTTTGAGGAATTTGTCCATTTACTCCAAATTGTCCAAATTCCATCCAAATTCATGCATAGAACTTTTCACAGAATTCACTTATTACTCTTTTAACATATACAAGGCCTGTAGTAATATCCCCTCTTTCATTCTTGATATAATTTGTGTGTTCTGTTTTTGTCAATCTCGTTAAATCTCATCAGTTTTATTTATTTTCTCTATTATTTTGCATGTCTTTAATTTCACTGATTTCTCCTCTTTGGGGTTTGCCTTTTCGTGTGTGTGTCTTAAAGTGGAAGCTTAAAGTATCATTGTGAGAACTTCTTTCCCAGTAAGCATAGTACTTCTATAAATTTCCCTGTAAGCACTGTTTAGTGGCTTCCCACAGATTTTGTTGCATGTCCACTCTGTTCAGCTGAGAGTATTTTCTAACTTCACTCGAGACTTCTCCTTTAACATGTGGATTACTTAGGGACGCCCTTGGTGGTCCAGCGATCAGGATTCTGAGCTTTCACAGCCGAGGGCGCAGGTTCAGTCCCTGGTTGGGGAATTACGACCCCCCAGGCAGTAGGGCATGGCTGAGGCAAACTCACGATTCAGCACTTTAAAATCATAAGGATGGCAGCTGTAGGGAAGTAAGGCAGAGTGTTTGGGAAAGGATGCTGAGGAGAAGGGCAGAACATGCCCGTCTACTGGTGTCAGTCACCCTCATTACTTAGAGAGATGACCTGGCCTCCGAGTGTGGTGGCAAACGTCTGGGTGAAGAGCCCACTCCTGGGGACCCTGTGGGCAGCCCGGCCCCAGAGCTCATTCGGGGACCCAACGCCTCATGCTTGCCCAGCCCCGCGTCCTGGCCGCACGGCCCCTCACCGTCTGCTCCGTGTCCTCGAAGACCTCGCGGGCCTCCTCGTACGAGCAGGCCTCCTCCCGGCACTCTCGCTCCAGGTTTCCCTGCTTCATCTCCTCCAAGAACGAGTTGGCCCTGCGGGCTCTCTGCAGGACACGGTGGGCCTGGTCCCGGGACAGGAACACTGGGGCGGGAGGACACGGCTGTCACGGGCTCGCCGCGTGGCCACGCACCGCCTCCGAGAGCGGCGGGCCAGACCCCTGCCCCGAGCCTGCTCCCGCCGGGGCAGCCCGCCCCGTGCAGAGCCCCGCACCCTCCCGGAACTCGGCCTTCCTGGAGGCAGCTGGGCCTGCCCCTCCTGGGACCCCCTCCGCTCTATCCTGGGCTCAGCAGCGCCCCTTTATCCCCGTCTCCCAGGCCTGAGCTCTGTTTTAGGTGGGGAGTTGTGACATGGTTTTGTACAATCTACAATTGAAAGCGTGACTTGTTTCAAATGCCAGGACATACAAACCCATGAGTAAAACAAAAGTTTCAAGAAATGGTGCTTACTATTATTTTCTACAAAATAGGTCCTGTTACAAAATTTTCTGCTTGATTCTGTGCCATTTCATTTAAGACCGACTAACTTGATTTCGTGACTCACAAAGGAGTCGTGACCTGCCTGTGACAGCGTCTGGGGTCCGGGGGTGCCCGGTCCTCGCCGCTGTCTGTGCTCAGCAGTCCCCACGCTGCCGCCTTGCCCTCTCTCCACCGGCGGCCCTCGGCTCCTGCCCCGGTCCTCTGCCTGCGCTCTCTAACTCTCTTCTGCCGAAGACTTGAGTCTCTGCCTGAGACAGACGACTCTGTAAGCTGATTTCCAGCCCCAGCTCACGGCCTGAGCTGGGCTTGCAGCTCTCCCCGCAGGGACTGTCCCCCTTGTCTGTCTCAGAGCACCAAGCTCCGCGTGTCGGAGACTGAAACGCAGGACTGCAGAGTCGACCGTCTCGAGGGGCAAATACATCTTGGTCACCAACTACTGGATCCTGGCGAGTGGAGGTTGCAGTCCCTCCCTCTTAGGATTATTTCAGAGAGTGTGTGAAACCCCCAAGTGTTCAACTGGTCCTGCCTCCAACTGCTTTCCCTTCCAAACCCCCCCTTCTTTTAGTGACACCTGGTTTGCCCAGCGAGGCCAGGCTCAGCCTTGTTCTCTGTGGGCCCCTCCCCACACTCCAGACCTCTCCACCAGCGAGTGGTTGCTTTGAAACACAGCCCACACCTCCCCCTCCCACGTCCCCTGCGTGGCCGCCCTCCTGCGTCTCTTGCCTCTTTCTCTCTCCCCCCTCTTTCCCAGCCTGCCGGGTTCCTGGACTTCCGCCTCATCCGGAAGGCAAGCACGCAGGCAGGCCTGAGGTTGCTTCTAGGCTCTCTGCTCTCTGGCCTCCAGGACGGGCCTGGGTCCTGGGAGGCCCAGAGCCCCTCTGTCCTGTCCCAGGTAGGGCAGCCCCTCCCCGGGCAGAGCCAGCCTGGTGGGGTGGCACTGGGCCTGGTTTTCTTCCCTGCCTTGGAAGCCCCTCTCTGCCTGTGACCCCCGGCCCCAGACAGAGGGGCTGCTCCCTGTCTCTGCCTGTGACCCCCCCGCGCCCCAGGCAGAGGGGCTCCTCCCTTTCTGCCTGTGACCCCCCACACCCCAGACAGAGGGGCTCCTCCCTCTCTGCTGTGACCCCCCACACCCCAGACAGAGGGTCTCCTCCCTGTCTGCTGTGACCCCCCCACACCCCAGACAGAGGGGCTGCTCCCTGTCTCTGCCTGTGATCCCCCCACACCCCAGACAGAGGGGCTCCTCCCTCTCTGCTGTGACCCCCTTGCCTGTGAACCCCCACACCCCAAACAGAGGGGCTGCTCCCTGTCTCTGCCTGTGAACCCCCACACCCCAGACAGAGGGGCTCCTCCCTCTCTGCCTGTGACCCCCCCACACCCCAGACAGAGGGGATGCTCCCTGTCTGCCTGTGACCCCCCACACCCCAGACAGAGGGGCTCCTCCCTGTCTGCCTGTGACCCCCACGCCCCAGACAGAGGGGCTCCTCCCTCTCTGCTGTGACCCCCCCACACCCCAGACAGAGGGGCTGCTCCCTGTCTGCTGTGACCCCCCCACACCCCAGTCAGAGGGGCTGCTCCCTGTCTCTGCCTGTGACCCCCCACACCCCAGACAGAGGGGCTGCTCCCTGTCTCTGCCTGCCGCGCCCCCTCCCCAGGCTCCCGTCCTCCCCACTCTGCCCCTCTGCCCCTGTTTCTCTCTGTCTCCCCCTCTCTTTCTGTGCACGTGTGCCTCTGCTCTGACCTGCTGACTTCCCACCCACGGGCAGGCACAGCTGGCCCTGCGCTGCCCCAGCTGTGAGCGCAGCCAGCATCTCAGGCCGAGCTTCCACACGGGCTGTGCACACACTCTCCACTCGGGAAGTTCAAGGGCATCTCCCGGACCCCTCCCGTCCCTCCACCTGGGGCCACCCGCAGTCCGCAGGGTGAGGGCCACATACCGCTCCCTGCTGGACGCAGGAGGCCGCCCAGCGCGGTGCTGAGCAGGACGAGGCGCAGCAGGCCAGCCATGATGGGGCCCTTCAGAGGACAGCCGTCCGCCCCGCCGCGACAGGCCTCTGGGGCAAGGTCCGCTCGCCCTGGCTGGAGGGCGGCTGGCGCCCAGCCTGCTTATCGCGGCCGCCAGTTGGAGCCCGGGCCTGCGGGGGCGGGGGTTCAGGGATGGCGGGCGGCTCTGGGGGCCTGGCCGCCCTGCCCCTGCAGCCCCAGGGAGGTCCCGGTCGAGCTCCTTCTCGTCTGGAGCCGTGACTGGGGGCCTGGTGTGCGCGCAGAGCATTTGCTCTAACAGACACGCCGTTGTGTGGTTCTCAGACATCCACATCTAGCTGTTCTCATCTTTACGACTGTGACAAATGTCAAGTCTCATTTCCCCATCTGTTTTTCTAGGACAGAAAACTGAGGTTTAGAGAGAGGTGGGGCGCCATCCACGGCCATCAGTGCGGACGTGGGGTTAGGACCCGGAGCTTTGTGCCCAGGCTGGGTGGGAGGTGAGGGCACCGCACTGGGCCGGGGCTGCTCTCCCAGCCAGGAAGCACCCCTCTAGGGAGCGGCAGGTGTGGGACGTGACCACCGGCAGCCGTCCACGGGCTGCCAGTGGGCGGTGCTGTCCTGGGAGGCGAGGGGGTCATGCTCTGTTCGTTGGCTGAGCACGCCCGGCACACCCCACGCGGGACGCCTGCTCACCAGGCCTGTGTCCGGCGCGGAGAGCGGCTCTGCATACAGCAGGTGTGGGGTAAGCACCAGTGCGCTGAACGAACCTCTGATGTCCCCAAACGCTGCCGCTGGGCACCCAGGCAGGGCTGGTCTTTGGCAGAGAGGTGCCGCGGTAAAGGGAGGTCTCCCCTTTCTCTGTGCTGTTCCTGCCCTGCAGGGCGGGTGGGGTGAGGCTGGGCTCCGGAGAGCCCCTGCCCCGCGCCTGCGTCCAGTGGCCCGGTTGGGCGATGCTCCCTGACGTTGCCCGGCACGGTGAAGCCCACCCAGGACCTGGTCAGTCCCTCCAGCCCCCTCCCCTCCTCTTCCAGGAAGAGGCATCCAGCCAGCTTTCATTTCAGAAATAAACAGCAGGCTCCGCGCTCGGGGCCTCTGGGGGCATGGGGCATCTTGACTAGAGTCTCCCGAGTGTCTGCAGCTGGGGCTGCGTGGACGCTGGACGACCCGCTTCACCATCCACAGCTGGGTGACCCGTCCTCCCCACACCTCATCCTGCCTGTGCCGGTTTCATGAACGCAGGGCCCCGTTTCCCGACGAGATGGGGGGCAGAGAGGGTTAGCGGTGAACCTGAGGGCACCAGCCAGAGCTGGAGCCGAGGTGCGTGACGTGTGTGCCCAGTGAGAACCCCGAAGACTACCACCTGTGCGGGGTAGCAGAGGCCAGGCAGTGAGCATGTGAGTCTGCGGGTCAGACGGCCTCTTCTTCAGCCTGGCAGCCTCTGACCCAGCAACTCTGTGCTGCTGTTTCGGGCAGCCTGGGTGATGTGTGTGGCCAGATGTGTGGCCAGGCTCACCCAGCCCTGCTCGGGACACGAGACATGGCTAGACTGTCCAGCAGGGCATGGCCCCTGCACCCTAAGCTGAGGTGCCGGGCTGGACGGGTGAGACCTGAGGGGGCGGGTGCCCACCGGGCCGGGCTAGGGTGGGGTCTGGAGCTCCTGTCCCTGGTTCCTCATCCTTCCCCCTCGCAGCCTGCCTGCCTGTCACCTGAGGGACTCGAGATCGAGGTCCCCCGCCCGACCCCGCGGAGTTGGGCAGGACCTGGGAGCCTGCATCCTGCAGAGGGTCCCTGCCAGTCCTCAGGCCGGCGTCATCTCCTGGGGCCTCAGACGGGAGAGACACGCAGCCCCCGAACCCAGGAGAGCGTCTGCGTCGGAAAGGGCTTCACGTGAAAGTTCATGTCAGCGAAGCCGGTGACTGTGGAGGAGCCCGTTTCGAGGACCAGCGTGAGGGTCTCTGGGAGATGACTCTGGACCGTGTGGAGAGAGCAGGGGGCGGGCCGCCTGCGGTCGGGGCAGCGGAGGGGCAGGCCTGCAGTGTGCGGGGCTGTGTGTGCCGCACACTCAGCGGGATGTGGGGGGCCGATGTCCACGGGGGTGCTCACATTTACCCGGAACAAGGACGCAACGCTAGGGGGAGTGATAAGCCAGACTGGGAGTGGCGCAGGTCACCGCAAGGATGGGCACCGGGCCTGTGCTGCCGCCTGCACCGCCCGTCCAGTCCGGACACCTCCAGCCCTGGCTGCACCCCGCTGCCGCCCTCCCCTCCCCGTCCACCTCTGACTCTGCGTCTTTCTCTCTCCCGCCCTCTGTCTCTTCATGCCTCTGAGTCTCTCTGTCTCCATCTCTGTTTCCACCTGCCCTGCTTCCTCGCCCCAGGAACCACAAGAGGATCTCCGGCTTTGGTGCCTGGGGGCCAGGCACGCGCGGCGGCTTTATTGGCAGGGCAGGGGCTAGGGCAGCAGCGGGACCCGGAGGAGGCCCTGTTCGGGCGGCGGGCGGTCCATCAGCTGCCGCAGCCAGGCCGTATAGCGGGAGACCCGCGTGTAGACCCCAAAGTGGCCGGCCGCAGCGCAGCCCTCGCCCCAGCTGACGATGCCGGTCAGGAACCAGGTGGCTCGGAAGCGCGTGGCGTGCGGGCCCCCGCTGTCCCCCTTGCAGGCGTCCTTGCTGCCGTCCGTGTAGCCGGCGCAGAACATGTTGTCCGTGACCGCGGGCCCGCCGGGCCTCTGGCGCGACTGCTGCAGGCAGTCCTGGGTCAGCAGCCGGGGCACCAGCACCACCATGAGCTTGCGGGCGGTGACCCCGCGCTCCAGGAGCTGGCCCCAGCCGCTGACGGCCGAGAAGCGCACGAAGGCCAGCGTCTGGTCCGCGAAGGCGGGGTCGGGCAGGCAGAGGGGCGACACGTGGTGGCCCAGGGCCACGGGCCGCGCCAGCTGCAGCAGGGCCACGTCGTGGTCCGTCTTGCCCGGCACGTACTCCTTGGGGATGATGACCCGCATCACCCACCGTTCCTGCTCCGGGCCCTCCATGCGGCCGAGGTCGTGCTCGCCTGCGGGGCACCAGGACGCCTGCTCACGCCCCCCTCGCCGCGTGGGCCAGGGCCTCCTTTCCCAGGGAGCAGGGGGCACACATTCCACCCCCCAAGGTGGGCAGGCAGCCTCTTGGCGGCTGCTGGCGGGTGAGCTGGGGCGAATCCAGACCCAGAGGTGCTGGAGGTGTGAGAGGGGGTCTTGGCGGGCAGTGTGGTGGGTGAGGAGGGGTGCCCCAGTTCCTTGCCCCCCCCCCGGGCCCCTGTCATCCCATAAGCCTGCCGGGCAGAGCACCCCGGGGAGGGCACCCCCGCGGGGCTCCTGGCAGGAGCAGCGTCACCCGGGGCTGCATCTGGGTGAGAGAGAGGGTGCAGGGGGTGGGCACAGGGGCCCCGGGGTGCGGGGTCTGCCCACACGCTGCCTGCGTGCGTCTCTTTCTGGGAGAGTTGCCGCCGCTCGTGGGAGCGGTGGCTGGAAGCCCAGAATCTTGGCCCACGGGGCAGGGGGAGGCGCCCACAACACCTACCCAGCACTGCGGTCAGGTTCCACCAGCTCCGGAGCCTGTCGAAGCAGTGGGCAGCGGAGACCACCCAGGAGGGGCTGACCAGGGTGCCCCCGCAGAGCAGCGCCCCGTTCAGCTTCAGCATGGCCTGGCAGGTGTGGCACATGGCGGGGGCCACGTCACGGTCACGTCACCCGCGTGGGGGCTGCTGGGGACGCTGCGTCCGTCCAGCGAAGGGGACGGGGAGCTGGCGGGCCCCGGCCGGAGGGTGGCAATGCCGGGTGGGGTCCTCTCTGCTCCCGCAGAGTGTCAGCCAGGTCCAAACAGCAGTCCTGGGGATTCGCCTGCCAGGCGACCCTCCCCTTCCTTCCACCCTCCCCCAGGCCTGAGGACCCTCTCCGCCCCTCCCCCAGGCCTGAGGACCCTCCCTGCCCCGCCCCCAGGCCTGCAGCCTCACCTGCCAAGGGCACTCCCCTTTGGGGCACACGTGGCCCCCCACGATTCGCCCTTGGGGCTTGCTGCTGTTTCTTTTTTCCAAAACAGGTATTTTCCCGCATGGATATTCCACTGTGTGAGACAGAAGTCAGCAGGACGTGGGCGTGACAGAGGCCGTGCGGCTGGACCGGCGAGTGCCCTGTGTTGGCGCCTGTGCCCCTTCTTAGCCGGGGTTTTGGGGGTCCTGGGGAAGCTGCTGGGGCCAGGCGGCAGGGCCTGTGGGCCTGGGTCCTTCTGGTGTATTGGGTGGAGACAGGCAGCCTGACTCCCCCAAAGGGCCGGGGATGTGCTGCGGGGGATGGGCAGCTCCTCGGGCAGCCCGGCCACTCTCCAACCCCACTCTTGCTTTCCACCTGGCTCCGGGGAAGCCCCAGGCTGGAGGGGACAGGTTTGAGGCGGCTGCTGTCTCTGGCCTCCTGGATGAGGCCGCCTGCACAATCTTCGGGAGACCAGGGCTGGGGGGTGGGGGCGCCTCCTCCCTCCGCCCAGAGCACCCCCTCGCCCTGGTGAGGCTCAGGGATGCTCCCCCGGGCCTCCACCTTTTAGTCACAGAGGAAGTGCAGCAGGGCGGTGGTAGCTCATCGGGACTGGAAGCACAACCTCGGGCCTGGGCCCCGGGCCTGTTACCTGCGGGCGCACAGGTCACCCCATCTGCCTGGAGTGCGTAGTCCTCATGGCACCAGCAGAAGCGCCCGGCCCCCGGGTTGGCCCCGCAGTACTGCTCACAGCCGCCATTGTCGTTGGCGCAAATCAGCTGGCTCTGCTTGTCTGCGGACACAGGGCTCAGCTGACCCGGCCCCTGGGTCAGGGCAGGAAGCCTGGGGCCGCCCCTCCCTGGGCCAGGGGCCGGGCCTGCACGGAGGAAGGGGACACCCCGCAGGCGCCCCAGGAGGGTGAGACCCGGGCCTGGGGGACCCGGCTCAGGGGACACCCTGCTTCCGGCTCTGCCCACCCTGCAGATGACCTGGAGGGTGAGACCCGGGCCTGGGAGGTCCCATGTCTGAGCACGCTGGCCACTGCAGCTGTGGGAACCCTGCGCCAGGGTGCAGGGGAGCTGGCAGA